AAAAAAAAAAATTACAGGTGTTGTATTTTTAGATTTTTCTGCTGCTTTCGACATCATAGATCATAACCTGCTATTAACAAAATTATCCTGTTACGGGTTTGAGCAATCTGCAATCACATGGATGTACAGTTACTTGTCAAATAGAACACAGACAGTGTTTTTCAATGGCAGTTTCTCAGGTATCAGAAAAATTACATGTGGAGTACCCCAAGGTAGCTGTCTGGGTCCACTATTATTTAATATTTTTACTAATGATTTACCATATATTTTACATAAGGCTAATATTGTCATGTACGCTGACGATTCAACTATATATACATCAGCAAGTACACAAATTGAATTAGAAACTGTTTTAAATACAGAATTACAATATGTAGTAGATTGGGTCAAATCAAATAAACTGGCATTAAATACTGTAAAAACTAATTGCATGATTTTAGGTTCAAATTACAATATTAAACAGAATCCTGTAATTAATATTATGATTAACAACGCAGTTATTGAACAGGTGCATGAGACCAGACTGCTGGGTGTAATAGTTGACTCTAGGTTATCATGGAAAAAACATATTAGTAATATTATTGCAAAAATGGGAAGAGGTATATCCATTATGAGAAGACATGCAAATTTCTTAACTTCAAACATTAGGAATTATGCAATGAAAGCACTAATATTGACATACCTCGACTATTGCCCAGCAGTTTGGTCAAATGCCACTGGAGAATATATAAATAAATTACAACTTATACAGAATAGAGCTGCTCGTGTAGCACTCAGATGCAGCTACAGGAGAAATATAACATTAATGCACAAAGATCTTAATTGGTTGTTGGTCAAAGATAGATTGTTGTATTCATTGTTAATTTTCATAAGAAATATTTCTAATTCCAAATTTCCTTCTGTTTTGTTCAAGCATCTTTCTTTCAGTGTAGTAAATCATCAGTACAGTACTAGACATGCAACTAAAGGTAATTTCACTTTACCCATAGTAAGAACTAATGCCATGAAAAATACTGTTGTGTTCAGAGGTATGAAAGAATGGAATAATCTGCCAAAACATATCCTGCTTGCTAATAATGTCAATAAATTCAAATTATATGTAAAACAGCATTTATCAAAATAATATAACTGAATGTTTATATTTATATGTGTGTGAATATGTATGTGTATGTATGTTTACAGGTGTAAGTGTAGAATGTGTTTTATATTTGTCATATATCACACCCGCATGAGGGTACATATGTACGTTAATATGTGTATATATTGTATATGTATTTTTATATGTGTTTGTGTATTTTCTTTTTCTTTCAAATATTGGTTGTATTCTTAGTTTTGTTTTTAATGTATATATTTTTTCAGGACCCCAGGAAGAATAGCTGCAGCATAGCTGTAGCTAATGGGGATCCTTTCAATAAAACTTAAACTTAAACTTTACTATGTGTTATTTTAGCCCAGCATTAGGCCTCTTGAAGGTATGCCACCTCCACCGGCCCGACAAGAAGCACACACTTCACAGCAGCATTCCTGAGAGGGGCCAACCAGCATTCAAGCATGTTGCAGACCTGTTTTTTTTTTTCTTTCTGTTTACCAACAAAAAATTCCAATAGATTTGCCTTTGGGAGAAGACAGGATATTAGAATTTCATTATATAACAAAATGTTAGTATTGGTAAAATTTCATCGTAGCTCCTGTTCAGTTACTGTGCTGTTAATAAACCATTTCTCTGATCAGAAGTGTTTTTTGCTAAGATCCCATGTCCGCCTACTCAAGAGAAAATTATTAAGTGGAAATTTTAAACTCTTTAAACTAACTCTCTATTAAGAACTACGTTTTAATCAGTCACGTTCGTTTATTTCCATAGAAATCGAGGACCTTTACTTGAACTATTAGGATTTTTTTTTAAAGAAAAATTTACCATTTTTTTTAAATCCAGCCTGATCTATAGCAGCTGATGCTAAACAGGATAAGAGAATGACTTTAGTGTACCGTCCATGGATACATAGGGATGTCTTATGTCAGATTGAATCTTTATTAATAAAATTCTAAAATGCAATCCTTAACCTTTTTTTATTTTAACTGTTATTTTTAATAGATAAGTTAGCCTCTTTTTCACCTACTTTTATACCTGCTAAAAAGCAACCCGATAACCTTTACACGGACAGATCTGAAAAACTAAAACTAGCATAAAGCTAGTTGACCTGCTGTATTTTGTTTCTTTTCTGTTTTAAGTAATAGTTGCAGGTTTTGGACCTTTGTTGTTATTCATAATGTAAAACATTAAAGCCCTTATGAAAACTCTAATGCTGCTGTTTTGCTTTGTGCTTTACCTGTAGCAACAAGCCTTTTCATAGCATTTATGACTTTTTCTTTCATATTGACAGCTGTGAAGAAAGACTTCCCAGAAATGTGTCTTTTCATCCATTACCGTCTGAACATCCAATCATAGCCTGTTGACTCAACTCTGTGTTTGAACACCCTCGGCTGTAAACTCAAATGAATACACACACACACACACACACACAAACACACACACACACACACACACAGTACATACATTTCACTGCATGTGTGATCAGGTACTGGAAAAACACAACAGTAAATCTGTTTACTCTTCAGGCTATAGCGGCTGATACTAAAACACAGGGAAGTTAACAATGTTGCTGTGTGTGTTGTGTCGACCCATTGAGAAATGAATTGCCGTTGTTTCACTGACAGATTTGCTGGGGTAAATTTTAACAAATTTTTTCTGAGGTTAAGAAAACAATTTAACTTTTGTTTGGGACGCTTTTTGGAAGTACACTATTTTGAGAATTCTGTTTTTATTTCCCGATGTTTTGTATTGTGATAGATTTTGTATGTAGGCTTTTCATATCAAAGTAACTGAGGTAATTTATTGTTCTTCACATTTTAAAAAGTATAAAATTACTTTGATTGCCTTTTTAATTATTATACATTTATTTAAAAAGTTTATTATTTCAAAAGAATAATGATAAAGGCTAAATAAAATCCTCTTAGCGTTTCCCGTCTCAACGTCATCATTGGCAGATCAAAGTCCTGCTTCCAGATTTTCTGTCGGGTTTAAAGTTGCTTTGGAGTAAAAACTCAGTACCTGAAATGTAAATATTGCCATTTGTGTAGGAGTGAGTCTTGCTCACTACCTTCTTAGTTTGAATCTGAAGACTTTCTTTATGAGTGTTCTTGCTATGAAGGGGGGGTCCCCTGCAAATTTCAATGCAAAACAACACAATTAGACATGCAGAATGAAATGTGTTTGTCCCTGTATGAGCCGGATCAACACTGGCGCAGAGAGAGAGGACTTTTTTTTTCTCTGCTCAGCAAAGTTTGGTCAGACACGGCGAGCGTGGCCTCTCTGCAGCTTGTGGTCATAAGTGGGCCTCATGATGTCATCCCACCACTGTGTGTCTGGGAGGGGTCAGTCCACGCCCCGACAAACTGCCTCTACGCTCTCTGCCTTAAACTGCAGTCCAACTTTACTGGTACCTGTTTTTGTCTGTGAACAGAGCTTTCTATTTCCCTGTTGATAACTTACTTTCACACAGTCTTTTACGGGTTTCACTCCCTTTTTCACACGTCGCTCTTTTACCTCTGTTGTGCTTGCTGGCTTTTCTCACTATTGTTGTGTAAAACATTCCACTGAGCAGTTCAAAAACTCTGAAAGCTCACAAATAATTGAGAGAACGTGGAGATTTCTGTCTATAGATGAACTCTGATGCGGGAGTTTGTTTGATGGCCGGGGCAATCTTCTGGGGAAGATGGAAAGAATGAGGCAGCCTATTTACTCAGATGGTTTACTGGTGGAGGTGTGAGGCTGGCCAGCTCACTGTGGGAACACAACGCTTGCTTTTCTTGGTATCGCTGGCCATTTTCAAGACCACGGTGTGTTTTTTTTCCCCCCGGCGCTCTCCAGCTTTGTTTGCTCTGGATGGCATGTTTGATTATTTATCGTAAGGGAAAAGGGAGTAGCTGGAGCAATAAACATGTGACTGGACTGTATTTTGTTTTCCACTAAGAAGGCTGTGTCCTTTAGCAGATATTCCAAGCAGCCCATAAAGGCTTTTGTTTGCTTTCTAGCGGGGAGTTGGACTGAGTGGAAGGAGGATCAAAAGCACAGATTAGGGTCTCTGACAGTTTGTGTTTGCTGGAAGTGCAACTTATCAACAGACAAATATTTCTTCTGGATGGGTCTAGGAGATATTTTATTCCTCCTTGTCTTTGTTTATGAAGTTGTTTAGACAGTTGTTAATTGTTTATACCTGGATTATAACTGAACAGGAGAGTGTGCAGATTTCCCTCTGATGTCTGCCTTCACCAGGGCTGCGAAGATGTGCTTAACCCTTGAGCTTTTTCAAAATGAGTCATGTTTAAACCTTTTGTTTGGATTTTATGTAAAGGAGCAACACAAGAAAAAAGTTCAGAAATTATTAGGGGTGTAAATCACACCCATCATGGCCATTCGATTCACTATCAATTTACTGACCCAACTATTCCATTATTTTCGATAGTCAAGAATACACCATGATAAGAATTAATTAATTGGTTAATTTATTTATTTTTTACCTCACAGGCTAGACAGTGATTCAAATTAGAAATAAATCAATGAAAGCTGTAATGTCATTATACATTTTATTTGATTAACAACAGCAAATAACAAAAGAAAAAGTTGAGGATTGAAATTTGTTTAAAAAGTTCAGGCTCAGGATTTTTTTTTTTTTTTTTTTTGCAGTTTCCCATATTTACCTTCTTTCATACACCTATTGAAGAGATCCCATCCCTTAGCATGATGCTGCCAGCACCATGCTTCATGGTGGTTAATATGTTGCTGGAAAAAAATGTTTCTAATAAAGTTAGATATATTACATTTTTTATTATTAAATGAAAAAAATTCAAGAAAATCTCAAGGGATGGGAACTATTTTTTTATGGAGTTTTATTTTATTTTATTCACACACAGTCATCACCTGTTGTTCTTCTCCCTGACAGGCTTTCCAAGTGGCTCGACAAATTCTTCTCCAGCAGCAACAGCAGCAGTCCCAGTCGCAGCAGCTGCAATCTCAACAGAACCCTGGCCGCAAATCCCCAAAAACCGGTGACAAGCAGCAGAGCTTACAGGTACAGTCGAAGGGCTGTCAGTCTTAGACAATTTCCTTCATATTAGCATAGTGTTATCAGGATGTTTTGCTTATTTAACTTTGTGGTTGCTGAACTTGTAAAAAGAAGAAAAAAAACAATCAAGTGAACTTTTGCAGCTTACGGAAGAACATGTTGTGCAAAAGAAAAAGTACAGGGTTAAGCTCACAAACAGGAAATTAGAATTAGCTGTGCAACATGTGCAGTTATGTATTTGCTGCTTTATGTGTGATTTAGCAGAACCTGCATACACATTCACTGGCAGATTTTTACCATTCAAATCAGGTAAAAAAAAATTATGTGAACGGCTGTGGTGTGAAAATCCACTTTCTGGCCGTTTTCGGATGTAATGAAATCCAGGCGAAGCGGGTGTGTACGTTTAAAAAAGCTTCATACTTTCTTAGGTGAAAGCACGTCTTTTATACACAAAATAAGGAAAACTGTTGAAGAAGGGAAGAAACTAAAGCAAATTCTTACACTACTTACCTTTCATCACAATCACCAGGACTTTAGCAGGTGGATGGATGGATGGATGGATGGATGGATGGATGGATGGATGGATGGATGGATGGATGGATGGATGGATGGATGGATGGATGGATGAGGGAGGTTCAGAAAAGTAGATGTTTGGTGTGTTGAAGTGGAATATTTGCAGATCAAAATAATCTTTTTAAAGAAATTCCTTGTATCTCATTTATTTTTAATTGAAACAATGCTGCATATGTGATGCAATATTTACCTTCATTTCAGATCAGTTGCCTCAAAGATGTATATCTGTGTTTGAACAAGGCGTGCTTGTTTGTGCCGGTGTGAAATTGCAAACTGCTTGCGGGCATGTTTGGTAATTAATACAGAGGCCCCATTCTCTGTGTGCTTGTATATATTATATATATATAATATTTAATACCCTTACTGTCCCATCGGGGGCTCTTTTTAATGAGCTATTGTTGTAGCTGGGTCTAATGTCAGGTTGTGGAAAAGCTTCTTTGTTGTGCAGATGTCTTCGGAATAGCTCCAGAGGATGAAATATGATTGCGATGACCTTTCAGTTGTGTGCATATTTGTCGGGATTCAAAGAAGTTGAAAGGATCAAACTGAAGTTTCCCCGGCCTGCCAGGGAACGGTGGCGCGGAGGTCAGTGGAGGGGACCACAGCAGCAGATTCCAGCGTACCGACAGTTGTTGGTACATAGCAAAGTACTAGAGCATCTCCTACAGACAAAGACAAAATTAAAATTCTAATTTATTAATGTATACAGAGAGCTTGGCCAAGCTGTCACTCAGCTATTGAAAGAGAGTCGGCCCCTTCTCCCCTCCTCGTGCTTTTCTCCTCCTCCACAGCTCTGCACACTTCTAGTGTGGGGAGCTCAGACTCGCTGCAGTTTCTAACTGCTGCTGTAAATTGCCCTGCCTCTAATGTTGCAAGTTGCATTTTGTTGGCATTAAGAAAAAGCCACAGGTTCAACCAAGTGTTTGTTGATCTCTGAGTTATGTATTCTGCTAATTAGATAGACCCCAACCCCATACACACACAAACACAGGCCAAGTGTTCATGCATAAACATCATTCTGTTGTTCTGAGGGTGCATTAGACCTCATTCATTTTCATGGTTTTGTTTTAGGTTTTGTTTAGTTACTGCAATTTCTTTTTACTTTTTTTCTGGTGGTTAATTTTTTTCTCTCTCTCTCTGCTGGTAGTTTTGCCGCTTCATAGTTTCTTGCTTTTGCAGTTTAGGTCAGCTCCTTTTTATGCCTAAAACAGCTATGAAAGAAATGGAGCCTCCTCATTTATAATGTCATGTATTTCAAGTTCGTAGCAGCCATGGGGACATTTTCTACCCACCTTGACATTCTGCAACCTCAAAGGACTTCCTGTAGTCTCCACTAGGCATGGGTTAGTATGAGCCCCATGTAGTACGGCAACCTGGAGGAGAACGATTGTAGGTTAATTGTTTCAGGTTATTTACAGCTGCGTCAAGAATGATCCTGTACATACAAGTATATAACATGACTTGATGGTTGAGTTAATACAACAAATTAATAGTATTTTGTACTGTTTCTAACATAAAATAGTTTAATTTGTTTAAGCTAAAACTCATTTTAGATTATTTATCTGAATAAATTGACTTGAGGATGATAATAAAGAGTAAACAACACTAATTGGAGTGCATGGAAATTCTGCTTTTATAGAAAGACACACTGCTCCTGGGAAAAAAAAAAAAAAACAGCTAAAACCAGTTTGAAACCAGTAACCAACTATAGTTTAGAACCAGGTAATAGAATTGATGGGGGTCGTTTCTTTACTTCCCGCCCCATGACTGGGCTTGTTTTTCCACAACCAGGTTTTACCTTCCCTTTTTTCCTAAGAGGCCAAGTTGTAGCAGTGTTTAGAAACAGATAGTGCTGCTTCACTCTCTGCTTAACATGGCAGGATTGATCTCTGCTTAATTCCAGAACTTTCTCTGGCATCAAAATAGCTTCGAACTGTAGGAAAGACGTTGTTATAACCTGATGATGCTAACTGGCCCAGTGCCACACCTGATCTACCTGTAGGAGATTCCTTAGTTGTATTGATTTATAAGGGATCAAACTTAGACTTAGACAGATTTATTGTCATTTTGTATACACTAAAGTAAACAAAAATACATTTAGTTTAAAACAGCTCTAGACAATTTCATTTTTAAAGTGCAGCCTTACACATATAAAAATAGGAATATAAACATATGACTGTATATTTATATATATATATATATATATATATATATATATATATATATATATATATATATATATATATATATATATATATATATATATATATATATATATATATATATATATAAAATAACCTATTTAACATAACATTCAACAGTCTAATGGCAGTGGGGAAGAAGCCATTATGGAAAAACTGATATGGAAACTTCACAAACTAAACAGAAGTAGAGAGAATCAAAATGAAAAATAGAAAAAATCAAATACGAGGTTTACTGAAAATAGAAGTAGATAATAAAATATTAAAATATGCAATTAGAATATAGTTTACGGTTAAAGAAACAGGAGTTTCAAGTCCTTTGTTATCACAAACAATGTTTAAGCAATCCAGTACAAGCTCCTCTCTGTGTTATGTGACTCAGACATGCAGAAAAGAAAACCTAGAATCCATAGAACCAGTTTTGGAAGTAAAGGGATTTTGGTATTCATCAAGAAAATGTAAAAAAAAAAATATCGGCTCTTAATTTAAAATTCTTATTGGCTATTTTTGCCATTATTTTTTTTATTTTCTTGGACTGTAAAATAATCAAAAAGTGATGAAAAATGTGTGGTCTAGTGAGTTTTTTGTGTGACATCTGAGTATTTTTATCTAATTCTAATATGTCCCTAATTCACAAAATTACTTAACAATTAAAAATAAAGTGATACATTTAAGGGAAATGGCAAAAACTGGAATGTTTACATGAGCCGGTGAAGAAGAGAATTGCCTTGAAGCACCAAAGGGTAACGGTCAGACTTTCATCTCACTTCCTCTTTTAAGAAAAAAAAAAACATGCCAAGAGGATCCTCCTCATACACATTACACCCCCCCACACACACATATGTTGAGAGAATAACCACTATCTCCATCACACAGCCTGGATAATGATTCTCTGCTGAGCTGGACCGGGTCATCAAAAGACACGATCCAACAATTATGAGACTAGTAAGCCGGCACCTCATAAAAGCACCTGATCTGCACACAGGGCTCCATTCATCTCAGCGGTCTTCCTATTAGGCACGAGGAGCTGTGGCAAGAGACTTTTACTCATTTGGAGATGTGACTCACTCTCCAATTCATTCAAGTCAAAAATAATGAAGCGTACTATATATGAAACATCTGGTTAGAAAAAAAACAGCCTTCATATAGTACAGAAGGGGAAAAAAATATGAGTCAAACAAACCTCAGAATCCTTGATCAGCGTTAAATGGCTCTTTGGTTTTATGTCTTCAACAGGGGTCCCCCCCCCAGTCCCCCCTCAGCATTGCACCGCCCACCACTGCCTCTGGATGAAGATGCCTGAGCTTGATACTCAGCAGCTTGGAGGCCTTCTAATCATTCTGGAGATGCAAACAGCTGCCATGCAGGCTGGAAAGCAGCTAAACATACTTGACTGGTCAAAAAGCCAGTAAATTACATTGACAAAATGACACGTGTAATTAAAAGAATCCATGCCGCTTTTACCTTTTTTCGCACTTCGCACCTACAGTGGCACGACGACGAGAGCCAGCTACTCCCACCCCGCTAATTACCATTATCAGTGAAATGGTAGGGTTTGACTCATTAGTTCCATGTGCATTTAATTAGAGGCAGGCTGAAATTGGATTTAACTTATTACTTTTTCATGGATCACTTTCTTGTCATCACTTCAAATTGGATTGCAGCCCCAGGTAACTAATTATGCCAGCCGCAGGATCAGGAGTAGAGAAATAGGTAATTAGGAAGAACACTGTCGGACCCTCACTGATAGTCCAGCAGTACCGAGATTTGGAGGGAGAGGGGGTAGGGGAAGTTTCTGCTCTTCTGTGGTGTTGTTCACTATAAAGACTGGTTAACCACATCTCACTGCAGGGCATCCAAGGTTTGCATCGACCCCCTATAGGCAATGATGTGGCCCTCAGCGGGGCAGTAAATGTTGATGTCTCTGCTATCAGTGCATTATCCTGATTATTGAGGCCTAGCATAGACATAGCATATCTGTAGTTAACTAAAACTGCGTGATCGATGGGGCAGCTGTTGGCGCTGTTTCCCTGCAGCAACAAAGCCCTGGGTTTAGTTTCCAGTCTCGGGTCTTTCTACATGGATTTCCCATGTTTCCCACTCCAGCTTCTCCTTAAAGTAAAAAAATAGTAGGAGTAATTGTTTTTCAAAGCACTATGTGTTACCCCAAATATTATTTACTTATCTGTCTGCCACAGGTGGTCCTGCATTAGCTATACTAGAAATAGAGGA